GCCGTCCTGCTCTTTGAATGGCCATACCTCCTTGATTAACTCTGCCACAAGAGCGAGCGCAGCTCCGCACGGGGAAGCTCAGCTGGCTGGCTTTCATAAATGCTTCTGCAGGCCCACAAATCTTCTGCAGGAGGTCTAAGGGGAATTAATTTGTTACATAAACTTTAGGATAAATGCCACGGTTGGGAGGCTTCCTGGCTTCGTGTGATGGAACAGAGCTGGGGAGACTCACAGGTTGGGCTTACAGGACAACAGCCTGTTGTGGAAACCCATAAGCCATTCTAATTGCCTTCAACAGGCATCAGAGATGCAGGATCAAACATTTAACATTTAGGGAATGCAAGAATTAGGGTAATTGTGCTATAATGTTGGATATCTTTTTTTTTTTTGGTTTGTTTGCCAAAGCTAAAAAAATATAATATTGAGGTTCAAATGAAAACAGATTTTATTTTATTTTATTTTATTGAATTGGGGAAAGGAATTTAAATCAATCTCTTGGAATGAAATAGATCAATGAGAATAAGAACAAAAGTCCTGAAGTCTTTACTTGGGATTAACTTGGAACAAAAATGAACACGGTGCCTCTACTGGATCCTCTAAAAAATGATGTCTGGATTCAGATTTGAAGCAAAATATCGCTTCCTCCTGGCTCCTCCTCGTTTGAAATGGCTGAAAAAAACCTTCAGAATTATTTATTTATTTTTCCATGCCCCAACTCCCATTCATTTGTATCCAACCACACAGACTGCAGTTTCCAACTAATTTGCTATTTGCAACCCAAAGCCATTTGGTTTTAATTGCCACCAATTATCTTCTGTGTATGTATGCATCACAACTTCAGTGAACAAGATGGATGTGTGCTCCTTGTGTCCAACAGTTGGGGCTCATCACCTATTTTTTGTTCAGGATGGATGGGGCTTGCTAGAGAAGAAACTGTTGAAAGTCTGCTTTCTTCCCCTTGTTTGCTGCTGTGACCCACACTGTTGTGCCTGGACAGTCCCTGCTCTGAAGACTGAACAGCTTCTTTTTCATAGCTTCCCTGCAGCACTGACTACACTGATGCTTGTGCACTTTCCCAAAAGGAATCCATCATCTCATTGCTCAGGAGAAATGGTAATCTGCTGGCACTTATCCCTACCTGAAATTTGCCTTAAAATTAAGTGTTCAGACTGGCATTTGGATTTCTTATGGTCAGATGATTAAAATTAGGTGAATGCAGAACTTCGTGTCCATTTAACCACCATCCATCAGTAGGTGGCATAGAGGTGGGAGCATTCAGTATAACCCAGTAGTACCTCCCCTCCTTCAGCAAGATTTTGCCTTTCTCAGCCATCTCCTTTTCTTCTCCAGCAAATGAGGTAGAGGTGATGGAATAACAGCCCTTCCCCTGCCTAAATGCATAGTAATAATTGATATTTTTGTGCATCTACAGTGTGTTCAGCACTTAAATCTATGGCTTTCTGGCCATTTGTTTTGCAGGAAATACAAGATTGCAATAAAGCCAGAAATGCCTGCTTTGTATTACACATGCAAGGACATCTTTGTATCTAAAAGCAATATATTTTATTAGGCATGATAGCTGGGAAAAGAAAGTGAGTTTAGAGATGCATGAACCATTTTTCAGATCTGGAAAAGCAGTAGCAAATGTCACAGCTAAATACAAGCTTGGTTTAACAAGCTATGAATTCTTTAGACCATCTGACAGAACAGCTAGTGCTCACAAGGAGAGGCAGGTGCATGATGTAGAGTAGTCATGATGCAGAGAGGCTGGTTATCTTCCATGGGGAAGGAAGATGCAAGACATTCATCACACACAGAGCCATGAGGCTTTGATGAAGGAGATTATGTATCAAATTATAAAGTTTTACGAAGACATTTCAAAGATATTTCAAAATATCTTTGGAAAAAAAAAGTCAAAGTCCATGCATTCGTGCATGAGAAATACTCCCTCAAATGCAGTGGCTTGATTCTGTCCCTCTGATGCAGTTTGATCTGTAACTCAGCTTATCTCCCTGCCTGCCTCCACAGATATTAGGGACAACTTCTTCTCTAAAGGAGTGGTGCTGCAGTGGCACAGGCTGCCCAGGGAGGTGGTGGAGTCATCATCCCTGGAGGTGTTGTAGAGCCATGGAGATGTGACACAGAGGGAGGTGGTCGGTGGGCACCGTGGGATGGGCTGAGGTTAGATTTGGTGATCTCAGAAGTTTTTTGCAATCTGAATGATTCTAGGATTCTAAATAAGCACCGAAAGTCTTGCCTGAAGCCATATGGGAAAGCTGTACTAGAAAAGGGAACCAGAGCAACGGTTCTGGTTTCAAACTTCCCACTGAGCCTGTGGAATAGGCTGTTAGTGTTAGCGACCTTGCCAACCACAGGGAAATTGGTTCAAGAGGGGGAAAACATGGCTTTGGACCCATTGCATTTGATCTCGGGTTCTGCTTTTATCCAAAACTACGATGGAGGGAGGTGGCCATGCTGGAGCTGGCGCAGTGGAGCACCTCATCATCAGATTTATTATTGTATAACTAACTCACAGCATATGGAATGCATCACGGAGTATCCCATCACTGTCACACAAAATGTCATTCTCCTTTTGCTTATTCTGTATTTCAATGGAAACATGAAACAAGCTTTGCTTTATGCATGTTCTGGGGGTGCTGCTATGTGCAGTGGTGGATCATAGACCTGGCCATGAGTTGTGCATGCCCATCAGTGCAGTAGGTTTGTTCAGCTGTGGTGCCTGTGGCAGACTGGCAGACAGAAGATTCTGGACAAGTGAGCATCCTGATGTGGAGCATGTCTGCAGACACCTGTGCAACAATATTTACAGATGTAGTGACTTCAAATGATGTGATAGTTCTCATCCATTTCAAAGCTATGCTCATTTTCAGTATTTGGGTCACAGTTATAACTGCACCACGGGAGAACTGAAGAGACTTAGTTGAAAGGGGAGATTCAGATTGGATATAATGAAAATGTTTTTTATAATAAGGGTGGTGAGGCACTGGCACAGGTTGCCAGGGAGATGATGGGTGTTCCATCCCTGCAGACACTCAAGTTCAGGCTGGACGAGGCTCTGAGCACCTGATGGACCTGCAGATGTCCCTGTTTGTTGCAGAGGAGTCAGACCAGATGCCCTTTAAGGGTCTCTCCAACTCAAACAAGTCTATGATTTCCATTTCTGAAAAGATATCTGTGTTGGATGTGATGTATGCTGACTCTAACGGAAGTTTTGGAGGCAAGATGTGTTCCTTCACTCACTGCCCAGCAATGAGAATTGATGAGTGTGTATGAGTGATAACAGCCCCCCTTTGTGGCTCTGTTCTGTTGGAACAGGACCTCACAGGTGGTGTTTGGCACAGCCCCACTTTCCCCATCTCAACGACCCCTCCTTCTCTCAAATGACAAATGGGAAGAACGGCTGCACCACGAAGAAAATAGCGGGCTGGAGATTGGGTACATGCTTGCTGAGTGCTGCAGTCTGTATGTTTACTGCCTGGCTCTGTAGCTCCAACACCATGGGTGGTATCCATTCTTGCTAAAGATGGATGTCAAGACAGATAGCTCTGCCTGAGCTAGCTGGCATCTATTTGCCAGAATATGATCAATGTATTCAAAGAGGTCAAGGGCGTGATTTGCTTCATCCCAACAGAGGGAACACAACTAATAAAGATATCAACAAGGAAACTGGCCCCGGCTTTAATTAAAATATGAGATGTTCATAAGCAATCACTACTGGTTGAATTCTGCTTCAATGCACTCAACCATTCACCCCGGAGGGCAGAGAAGTGACTATTTCCAGACTGTGTGGTCCTGGGCAAAATGCCTCCCCACCCCAGTTGCTTGATCTCTCACATGCTAAGTCTTCCTCTGGGCCACTGTGGATTGAACAAAGCTCTACAGAGTTCATGTTTATTGTTAACATATGGCTGCTCCATTCGTCTGCATTGTGAAACACTCAGTGCTGCTCAATGTGACAACCACTCTCCCAAAATAAATGCTCTTGTTTTTAAACATAGCTGTATTTTTACCCACATATTTCTGAGTCATTTGGGGTCAAAGTATTGATTCCATTTGTCACCCAGCTTTATCTTGGCCAGAAAATGTGTTTGTAAATAAATAATCAGTGAGAAGGAATTCATGGGATGTGACGTATTTACTCTGCTTTCCTGGAGGGCCAAAACATCTTCTGAGTTGTAATAATACTATTCCTTCTCTTTCTTTTTCTTTCTTTCATCTGGCTTCCTATCTTTATTGTTTCTGAGTTAGTATCTTAGCACTTCACAGTGGGTCTGTTAATCTGTTAATCTCTCCCTTTCTTTCTCTGCACTTCCCTCCAGAAGAATATGAAGAAGACAACCAAAGTACTTAAATTTGGGATGAGCAGCAGGAGATTTGGCAGGCAGATTGCTGTGGGTGCCTTGGGCAGGGAGCACAACCTTGGGGCTGCCTGGAGGATGCATATTGGAGAGAACAAGGCAAGCAGAGAAGCCTGTGAGATTATCTGGAAATGGGGAGAAGCTCCCTAGGATCAGGGCTGGGACATAGATGCAGATTTTCTCCAACTTCTGTCTCTCAAGCTGGGATTGACATTTATTTGTCCTGGTGGGCAGCTTTACTACATGAGTGAATTCATTACAAACTCCTTGAACCTTGGGATTACTAATGACTCTACAAACACCAAAGAATCATTGTTATAGAATTATTAAGATTGGAAAAGACCTCTAAAATGAGCAAATCTAATCCCAGTCCCATGCCCACTGACCACATCCCTCAGTGACACATCTCCACAGTTCTGGAACACCTTCAGGGACAGTGATTCCATCACCTCCCTGGGCAGCCTGTGCCACCACTCCTGCACAGAAATGTATCAGAATACCCATCCTGAACCTCCCCTGGTGCAACCTGAGGCCATCTTCTCCTATCACTGCTACCTGGGAGCAGAGGTGGACCCCTACCTCCCTACAGTATCTTTTCAAAGAGTTGTAGACAGCGATGAGATCTCCCCTGAGACTCCTCCAGAATGAACAATCCCACTGATTTAACGTGTCTCGAGCTGCTGCTACTCAGCTGCCCTGTGAATGTGCCTTTATTCAGCTCACATAGTGAAGCCTAAGCACTGCTCTGGCCACAGTTCAACCTGAGTGCCTGATGGGTGGGATGAATCCGGAGCTGGGAGAAGCAAAGGTGGGGAAGTCACAGAAGGACAGGAATCTAGCACTAGATGCTCTTCCTGAACTAGCAAATGATTTTAAGCACACAAGCGAGGGAAGTAGAGTTCAGCCAACATTATAGGCTTTATTTCTCCTCTTGTCTACACTCTTCCTCATCATTCACCTCCAGAGAGCAGACCTCTCTGCTGCCCTCTGATAAAGGATACCGGACTGTGCTTCACACAATCTTCTTTTTAAATGAGCTCAGTTCCTGGACCCCATTACATCATTGTGGATGTACTGGATAAAGCACAACTGGGTGTGTGTGATTCCCAGTGGTGGGAAGGACAGCTGGTTCACCTGAGCCATTCCCTTTCCTATTGTTGGACTGGGATACCAAAGGCATTACTCTGCCAGCAGGCACTGCTGTGGGGCAACAGATATGCCACTAACTGTGTCTTGGAATGAGGCAATGAGGCAGCATTCCATCACGATGGGTGTCAGAAAGCTGATGCTCTTCCTGACACAGATACTGCTAAACAAAACAGATCCATATATTGAGTCTGCTGAAGTGTGAAGCATGTGGGAGGTGAGCAGGCCAGGCCCATCAGCAGGAGGATAAATACAGCCTTCCCATTCCCACCCTTCCTTGTAAAGCAAAGTATAAAAGGTTAATGGCAAACAGACAATCCAGCTACCCTCAGTTTTCTGGTTTCAAGGTATCTCTTGTTCCAGATGGCTCACACAATTGCCAGGAAATGTCATTATTAAACAAGATAAAAGTGAGAGAACTGTTGCAAGGTGCAGCACTGTGCTTGGTCTCGGATTTCATTTGAAATGCTCAGGGAAAGGTAAACCTTTTGCTAGCAGGAGAGGAGCCAACATTCCCAGGATTAGCAAAAGGAGATGAAGAGAGCTGGAAAGGCATGGGAGGTTCAAGGCTTCTTAGACCAAAGGTTGGGTCCTGGTTGCTGCTGGAGTGCTCCCTTCAGGTGTGCAATTAGTGGAGCTATGTGTTCACTGGAGGTTGCTACCAGGAAAAAAAGAGAACTAGAGAGCCCTGGAGCTCTCTATCTAATTCATGCATTGAACCCATGGGGAGCAAGAAAAATCTTGTTCCCATGAACTAAACCAGATGCCTTCACAGTGCTGAGCTATTGTTTTCATGTGACAGAGAACAGTACTTTCTGAGTTGGAAAGGCTCATTCCCTCCCAATGTGTATGATGTCTCCACATGCACTGCCCTGGCCCTTTCATGATAAAGGGTCTGTTTTTCCAGGCTAGGACCTCATGGCACTGCCCCCCTTTGACCTTTTGTTCTCTGAAAAGATGACTGTTTGCTTGTTTGGGTTTGCTTGCATGATCACATGGTGTCTTCTGGTTGGAGTCCTTCAATGTATTGTAGCTGTAAAAACATTTATGGCCCTTGAAGTCCAGGCCTGGAAGGAAATCCCTTCCCCCAGAAGATGCATTCCATTCAAATAGTGATCTCAACATTCTGATAGCCTTATTTAAGTCCTGTTGTAAAGAAGAGACCTTCCCAACATTCACCATCTCTCACCAGTGTTAAAAAGGAGTGGGATCACTCAAATTTTCCCAGCTTGGCTATCAGGAGAAGTAAAACTGCAAAGTGTACAGTGCCAAATCTAAGTGCCAAATGCAGAGAGGTGGTGGATACCCCATCCCTGAAGAAACCCAGGGTCAGGCTGGCCAGGGCTCTGAGCATCTGATGGGGCTGTGGGTGTCCCTATTCATTGCAGGGAGGTTGGACCAGGCGGCCTTTCTGGCTCCCTTCCAACTCAAACGATTCTGTGATTCTAAACCAAATGCTCATTGAACATAATATTCAGTGGGAAGAATCTCATCTTAGGTGTCCAGGTAAGCTAGTCTTGTCAGACGCCATCACAGACGATAGAAGTCTTCCCAGAAGGTGATTCCCCCAGTGATGTTTGTCACCAAACATCCATCAGCTCAGGAGTGCCTTGAGCTTCAGACTGATAAGAGGTCTCTTATCAGGTCCCAAAGACTCTATCCTGATCTTCAATCTCCCCACAGCATCTGCTGGTAATGAGGCCGTAGAGTCTTAACCAAGGGAGTATTGGATTTGATTTGACACAAACACATTCAACTTCAAGGGATGGGGGAGGTGCCTCTCTTTTCTGCCACTGACTGGATGAACCTGTTCCGACTGCACTCCAACTTCTGGCTTGGGAAATGGTAAATAATATAGCTGTTAGAGACAGCCAGTAGATGTCACAGCTATGTACTTATTTAGTGTTTCCATTTTCAGGAGGTGGTTGAGATTTCTGCACAGAAAATATCTATATAAAAATATTTTATATAGAAGACTAATATATATGAATAAGAAAAAGAAAGCTCTCCATGTCCTCTTTATACCCAAGGCAAAAGCAAGACTCCTCATTTAGTCTAACATTCAAAGAACAGCAACAGGGAGAAAGGAAGAAAACAAGTCTTACATGGACAGCATTGCAGGGTTTTTAAGAACACCATTTCTGCCTCCTACAGTCAGGCATTCAGAAGATGCATGCTCTGCCCTTCTCATTCACAGCAGCAGCACCATGTTTTCTACAGATGTTTGTGCTGAACCATAGAAGCACTTTGACAAAGACTATTTGCTTGTCTAACACAGTTGGGCAAATGTCCCCATGACAGATTAATGGACTCAGTGACGGATAGGAGAAGAAAACACAGTCAAAGTACAAAGGGGAAAAAAAAGGTTGGCTGTCCTGCTCAAATCAGCCCAGAGGATTGTTTATTCCAAGCTTAAATCTGCTCCAAAATGCTTTCTCTCAAAACCAAGCACTGATACAATCTTTGCAACTGACTGTATCAAACCACCACGAAGCCCAAATAACCTGGAGACCGATCCAAGCCCACTTCCCGTTGAGATGCAGACCAAGTCCTTTCAGCTTTTGCCAGACTGTAATACTCTATGATTTCCCATAGCTACAGTAATAATCCAGCATCTATGCAAGGTCCCCAAGGACTGCTACTCTCAAAGCTACAGCACCTCTGTAAAGCACAACGGTGTGTTTGGAAGTGGACCTTGCCCTGCCAATCTATTCATTCATGCACTTAGCTTGTCATAGATGCTACCTAATTCAATTAGGGGAGCTGATTTAAATTCAGTAGACTCCCTAATTTTTTTTAAGCACAGCACCATACCACCTCTCTCCCTTGCCAACCACCAGAGAAGGGTTTTTACGACTTAAGCACAAAGAAATGGAAGAAACTCTGCTCAGTGCCTAACAGAATTGAACCGCCTCCATAAGATGAGGAACTGAACCATGAGTCACCACAGACAGAACTTCATGCTGCCTGCAAGGAACGACTTCCCTGATTATTATCTTCTTTCCTACCATTGCTGTATTACGTAGCTTTTCTCCTCCCCAAAACCAGGTCAGTTTTTGACTCAAACACATGAATCACTACCAAGGCTTTTTTTTTTTTTTTTGTGAGAAAGTTGCTCCCATAAAATGAGCCAGCAAGCCTTGATATGCAAATCCCAAATCTCATCTGTACCTTTATCCATAGTCAGCCCATTTGCCTGTGCAGGGTTCAAGAGCTTGAACTGATCATAAAAAGTTATTCTGGCCACTAAATCTGGTCTTCTTTGTCAAGGGTGGAGAAACAGAGATCATCCCTATTTCAGAATCATTTCTGCATCTGATCAAGCTGCCACCTTTAGGGATATTTGGCAACTTTCTCCTAAGTTAATTGCACACACTGCAGACAGAGTGATATTAATAACAGCGAAGTGCCATCAAAGCATTGTGGTAGTTTCACTACATGGCTTCAACTTTTGCAGTGCACTCACTCACCCAGCAGACAACACAATATAATGTTTTCCTTCCTGCTTATTTGAAGGCTGGACATCCTCCAGCCTCAGTGCCCTCTCTGACTAATCAGAGCTGCTAATATCCAAAGTGACATGGTGTTTTATTTACCTCTTGGGTTTTTTTCCTGAATGCCAAAGTCAGCGTGAGGTGAATACATTGCCACGTGCCACAAAGAAGCACTCCCTGATGATGTGGTTGATAATTAAGCAGTCTGGGTGCCTACACTGGTGATATCAAAGGTCAGTCAGGTGTCATAAAGGTGCTGAAGATCCACTTCTTCATTGAAGTTCTGGGTTCAAATATTACAGTCGCAAGTTTTACATTCTCCAGCAGAAATACATAAAACAAAGGTTACTGTATTCTTCTGATCTCATCGCAACCTGGGAAATGGAAGCCCTCCAAATTGTTTTTGCCTGCTCTTCCCATTCACAAACCAGGTGGATGCACTCACGGGGTGCAGTTGGGGTGGGACCCTACGTCACATAATCCTCAAGTCACAGTACGAAGGATCCCAGTGGAAAAACACAGCCATCAGGATTGGTGCAAAGCAGATTGTTCTCAACCATATGGTTGTTCTCAACCATAACTCCATGGTGCCACAGCCATAAATGGCAGCCATTAATTTGTCAGCAGTGGCAAAGGGGGACACAGAGCACCGTGTTCACACAAGCAGGTTGTGACATGGATCAGGGACCGGCCCTTCGCTTCACTCTGTTGTGATGCACCATGTCTTCCCACCAGCACCCAACCATGGCCAAAGGGCCTGGCATTTTGCAAGGCAGAAGGAATGAATGCCTGAAGGAAAAAGAAAAACAGGTTCATGGAGAATCCCTCAAACTAACTTCTTATATGACAGGCTACAAATGTAAGGTTTCAGGTGTATTTTATCAAGAGCTGCATAATGGTTTCTAATTATTTTTTTCTTATGATTGCTAATAAACGAAATTTGTACCAAATATTCTCCCATTTAATGGAAATTCCAGGTTTTCCAACAAAATAAATTTAAAGCAAGGACTGCAATGGTTGTTCTGCTGGACAAACACTTGATGTGTCTTTTGCTCATGCAAGAAAACACATTCTTCTCCAGACACATTTAGAAAAAGAAGAGACTTGGCATACTTCTAAAATTCACAAGCACATTTTAAGAACGCCCAAAAGATTTCATGAGGAAGAAAAAACAACTAAATTATATGAGAAAAATTAATTCCTTTCAAGCTGCTTCAGGAAATAAGCTTATCTTTCTCAGAGCAGATTTTGCAAGTTAGCAGTTGAGCGTCAAGTATTTCTGTCATCACTGCAGTGGTTTTAGGAAAAATGTCTGTGTCAAATTATGACATTAATTTTACTTCGCAACCATTGTTCATAATTGCAGCCTTCCTTCTGGAGCAGAAGCCTTGTTTTGTAGCCAAGAAGAGTGATAAAAGCCCATATTTGTTGCTGGAAATACGTGACATTGAAATATTTGATACATTCAGTAGCTTTGCTGAATCCAAGCATCACAGTGTGATAGACAATGGATAGATCTCAAAATTCTTCAGAAAGGGAGCAAGAAATTAAAAAAAAAATAAAAATGAGAGAGGTGAAGCTGTGCTTTCTCATGCCCAAACCCTAAAGGCACTGGGGAACACAAGCTGAAAGAGTGTCCATCGCTGTCCATCCATCACTGATACACAGGGTGCATTTGTTAGATCTCATGAGATTTCAGAAGTGTCACAAAAATAATTAAAAGGTGATCATGGAAAAATCAGATATCAGGGTATAGACACAGTGCCTGTGTGCTTATCCCCCATGGTTTTATTTACAGAAGGTGTTTTAAGAACAGTTCAACTTCTGTGAGAAATTGTTTTGATGAACCAGTTTCTACCTGGGACCACAGATGGATGAACAATTTTTCCCAGCCTCATTTTGGTAAATACTTCTCCACAGAAGCACCACATATTGCTACAGCATGAACAGACTGTAGTACAAAAGTTAATGATACATGTGACCCTTGATCCTTACTCTGTAATTTTTGATGAAGTTTTGGGAAGTTAATCTCAGCCAGTCCTACAGGTTCTGTAAGTCTTTCCTCACAGAGTTTGGGCTGTTACAAGATAGAACACCAATAGCTCAAATCATGGATAAAGTTACATTTGCTTTTGTTCTGAGTGATTTCTGCCCCATGGAGGGTTTGCACAGAAAAGGGAATGAGAGACATAAGCCAAAAAGAAATATTTACATAGAAAATGAACGTAGAAACATGGAGTGAGCCAGATCCATAGCACATTTACAAATATAACATTATTGACAAAGTCAGGGTGAGGCAGATTTGCACCATGTGCCCTGCAAACTCCATCAGAAAGTCCTGGGGGTTTCCAGAAGTAACTGAACCTTGCTTTGACAACAAGGCTACACAACATCTCCTAAATTGCATCTAACAATCAGCACAGTTTTCATGTGCTCCTCAGTAAGAGCTTGTTCTTGATTGTAGTGAGGAGAATTGAAGTATTGTGATGCTAGTAGAAGACAGATGGGAATGAATAGGGGCAATTCTACCAACAGGAGTTGCACTAATGGCAGGGAAGCATCAGTTGTTGAGTTTAATGCATCTTCCCCACTTAATGAAATTGGAGGTAATAGAGAGCAAGAGCAAATTCAAGTAATATCATTTTGAGAGATAATGGGAACAATAATGTTGTTATCAATAAAGTCTAAAATGGCACAGTGTTGTTAAGATGATCCAAAACGCAAGTTGCAATTGTTCATATCATAATTCACTGTGGCAGTTAATTGGAATGCCAGCAATTACAGGCTCTCATTGCTCATCAGTTATTACAGCTGGCAGAGCTTGTGCAAGTTTCTGGTGGACAGGACACATCCCAAACCACTCTACCATGAACAGAAATGTAACTAAGAGTTTATGTGGCTTTGTTTTTCTTCTCTAACGTAGAAGATAAGAACAAATGATAAGAATAAGATGAAGACCCAGAATGGATGTGAAGTCAGGACATAAACTTACCCTAGCTGTGAACCACCTCTCTAACAGATGTAAATAAGAATGAAATTATTTAAACCTTAGTTTGGTACATCACTGAGAGTACTACTAACAACCTACTGAGGGAGATCAGTGAAATGCCCAAGGACAGTTTCTAGATAAAGACACATGGACTTCCATGACCAAATACAGTCTTTTCAATGTTCACAAAGACTCTTACTGGCAGTAAGCATCCTGCAGATATTTGCAAATCACAGAGAGCCAACCAACATATAAGACACCTCAGGTAGCCCATCAGGAGCATATATTCACAACTCTACTTTTGCACCATTCCAGCAGTTCTGCTCTTGAACAGTTTTTAACAAAAAAAGAAGCCAAGAACTATCAAAACAAACATAAGTAGTGATCATGGATCAAATAGACAAATTCATGTAACTTCATAACGTGTGCCCAAACCTTAAGAAGAAGGTATTTAAAAGTGATTCTAGAACATAGCCCAGAGGAAGTCAGTAGCCAATACAGTCTTCCCAAAGCTTTTCTGGTGCTGGAGGATGATGGTCAAGTTTACCTACCACAAAGGGAGTTCTCTTCAAAGCATGAATGTATTTTGAGGAGCATCCCCATAAGCTCAGAGTTAATTCACTACCTATTACATACCAGTGCAAGTCCATTGACCTCCAAAGAGCCTCTGCTGCACAACAGAGGACACCCACAGGAGTCCCACTTGCACTCCTAAATTAGAGCCAGAGAGTCCAGAAATAAGTTGATGAACCACATCCCCATTTGGGTGCATCAGCCTCCAGCAAAAAGAAGTAAGCCACTGCTACTGGATCTCTTTAAAGGGTCCTGAGTGGTGAGGGGCCAGCTGCAGATCATTAGTGCCTGGTGCTGGCTATTTGCTCCTCCGAAGATCAATTAGCTTTCATCAAGCACAGCTGATCAGGCTGTTCAAGGAAAAAACACTGCTCTATATTCTCCAGCCGTAACAAATTGCTTGGTAAGAAGAGGCACTAAGGGAAGAAGACTCCAGGGATAGCTAACTTACGGGTGCTTTTAGAGGACTCTTTCCAGTTTAAATTTGGTGGTAAAGGATGGGGTCTCACAGCAGTCAAATCTAGCAACTCACTGAAGCTAAATTCAAGGTCCTTCTTTCCATTTTCTCCCATCTGATCTTTATACTGACTCTAACATCTTGTTATTACTGCATGGATGTAGTGCTGGGGACATTACAACCCTGCCACATCTGTTGGGCAGCAGAAGCAACGCCAGCCTGTAGGGATTCTCCCACGAGATGTTGGTACAGTGGCACAGGGCAGAAGGAGAGAAGCGAGCTGGACTTGCTCCAAATGCACATTTCTTGGCAGGTTTAAAAAACAGCTGAGGGATCTGCAAAGTGCAATCTGATCTGGAAGCACGCACAGAGACAAAATTAACAGGGTATCCCATGATGTCATTTTGAGCAACCGCTTTCCTGGCTGAGACAGAGGCAGACAATTCCATGTCTGCACATGAATCCTCACTGAGGCATCTGCTGTTATTCTAACTCTCTTATCCTTCCCTCTGTTACAGCAGCTCTGCCCAGGTCCTATAAACATCCAGGCGGCAATCAATGAGGTGTGAATATTTAGCTTATAAAGCAGCTCAAGCATGAAGGATATGCATTAGAAGAGGTTGGGAAAGCAGCAGTGGAAAATTATTTCCAGCCTTACTGTCACTGCACTGCTGCTGTTTTGGATGCTTCTAAACTGTATCGATGCACCCAATTAAAGAAGTCATCTACGGGTGCTGAACTGAAGATCCACTAGAGGCACTGCATTGGGCATGAACCCGTGTGCTTGGAAACAAGAAATGAAGTATACCTTCAGACATTCCTCAGAGCGCTTGGAAGTGCTTCACATATCCCCAGCAGTCTGGAAACTTACAATTTAATTGCTCTGCCCAGCCAGGATCTGGAGGTCGAGATGCCCATGGAGGCATCTGCAATAGCAAGTGAGATGTGCCAGGCAGCCCCCAGTCCTGTGTGCCTTCCATCCTGGTGCTCAGCCAGGACAACACGTTCCACTCCCCAGCTGTAACATTGCATTATTTTCACTTTCAGAGCATTGTGTCCACGCAGTGACCATTCACCAAGAGCTCTTCTTGGATGATGTGAACCTCCAAAATGTGTTTGCATCATTGCCTGTTTGATCACAGCTCTGCTTGACCTGGACAAAAAAACAGACCAAACAACACTGTGACAATTAACCAATATAGATATTTGTGGTCTTTATGGCAAGTGATTTAGTATGTCTCACATCTGTTCTGCTCTTTCCCTACCCAAAATGGTGTCTTGCTCCTCGCTTTATGGGAGGAGGTGTTCTTGGTAGACACAATGTCCTTTTCCATACAAATGCAATTACTGGGACATGCGTAGCATATATCACAAGTTGGCAAGAGTCAAAGCTGTACTGAATAGCATGCTTACTATTAAACAGCAAGGACAGACAAGTTCCAGTTCTTGAGCTCATGCCTTGGTTTGATTTATTTTACAAGTATTTGCTAGAAGTCATTGCTAACAAAAGATTTTACACTTCATTATGTGAATAGTAGTAGTGAATTCCCTAGAGTTTCTTAAAGGGTCTAAAGCAAAAGATGCCAACAAATGTCAAAGAAATACTTTCCTCATGGTGGTTTATTGCTGTGTTTTTTATTATTTATTTATTTATGTATTTATTCTTTCAGGCTGTTTGAAATTAGAGAGAGGGAAAAAAAAAAGAAAAAACACAATTTGAAATATTACCACTTTTTGTGAAGATGTAAGAGAGATTATATGTCATGTTTCACCACTGGGGACATCACCTGTGGGAGACACCTCCACCCCTCTCTCTCAGTAGTAGATCAGCTCTGCTAACGAGGTTAAAAACAAGATCAGGCTGGATGGGGCCCTGAGCACCCTGACTGAGCCATAGTTGTCTCTGTTCATCGCAGAGGAGTTGGACCAGATGGACTTACCAGATGGACTTACCTGCTGTAGGGAACCTGCTTTGTCAGGGGGGTTGGACTCGATGATCTCTGGAGGTCCCTTCCAACCCCTACAATTCTGTGATTCTGTGATTTCAAAGGTCCTCTTCCAATTCAAACAATTCTACGAAAAACGATAGTAGGAATGATAAACAATGTTGGCAGCCACTAATGGAATCTGCGTTGAAAAAGGAGGGGGTTCATGCCAAGTGTTTTTCGATACCAAAATCTAGCATCTCCTCTACGTCCATCGTCTAGTGATCCTCCACAAATGAGAAAGTTCCTCCAGAAAGCAATTCATGCCATCTTTGTTGCACACCAGTCTTAGGGCAGAATGAAACTCCCTGTAGAGCCCTGATCTCTCTGTATTGACTTCAGAGGGAGGCTAAAGAGCCGCTGTTCATTAGATGGCCCGCTTTTCGGCAGCCTCAATTAGTGGAGAAAAATCCCACCCATGGAGACCAATTGGCCAATTCCTTCTCCAGAGTCAGTCACCACTTCTGCTGAGCCCTCTTCCCCTGCCACGCTGCAGTCACGAACATAACCCAGCATCTCAGCTGGAGGCAGCTCCTTGCTGGAAGGCTACAGAATAGCAAGCGATGGGGGGTTGGCATGTGGATGCCAAGCCTGCAGTGCCATGAGATTACCCAAGAGGCAAAGCAGGGTCACGTCCTGGATGGTCTGAAACATCCAAAATCTGAATCTAGCATTTTTCATTGGTCTCTTGGCTGAGCTTGCAGACTATGAAGGGAAATGGGAATAACCTTATTCGTGCCACGCAGCCCAGCTCTAACCCCACAGGAGCAACTAGAAGAGATTCCCAAGGAGGAGAATATCCTTTGAATGGGGAATCCTGCTCAGAAATACTGAGAGACAAGGACAGAGGAGGAGGAATTAAATGAAAGCATGACCTTGTCTGCCTCTAGAACTAAACATGTGCTGTTCTTGGCCATAGCTGCTCTTGAGCCATCTGTGCCCTGACAAGGCATCTCTTTAACCTCAGGGACGGTGTATCTCCAGGGAGTGGGTTTATGATATTCAGGCTGTATGTGCATCTGCTTTTCATCCCATCAAGGAGCCTTTATACTTGTCTGGGCTGGAGAAGGTGGGGAGGTTAGTCTGCGTTGAAGTTACAAGCCTCGTTTGAAATACTGCTGGTTTCAACTTACTTAGGACTGTAGACAATTACACAGGCTCTTTGCAAACCACTCCTGCAACCTCTCACTCGTGGCAGTAGAGGTCCGGCTCTGTTGGCAGCCTGAACACATTCTGTTCCCCTATCTTCACAGGTGAACACTTCCAAAGTAAAGTCAGGCCCAGGTGGAAGCATGCCTGCTCGAGCCAAAGAATGAGCCAGTCAGTTTGGGGCAGACAAAGTCCTTCTATAGGAACAGGCTTCATTTTTCTGACAAAAATTCCTGCAGCACTTCACCACCCCTCACCTTTGGGAAGGCAGTAAACATGACTGTGCAAATGGCAGAGGGCAGAGGAGAAATGAGGCCCAGATCTTTGGCATCTTGGAGGTGTCTGTGAGCTGTGGGAGGACTCAGAACTGTCTGCTGGTTGAGGAACAGATGGTTGGTTTTACTGAAATACAGTTTATATTCGCAGGCAGCAACGTATGCATGTCCATACACACACGTGTTTTCATACATGAACAAAATCCTTTGGCATGTTACACTTTTCATCCCATTGAGACAAGATAAACCTGGAGGATATGTCCAGAGAAAACACTTGCAGAAATATCTCGTCTTTAAATGTGGACATCAGTGGAAGTTATCCATGCTGACAAAAGCATTGTGCACAAAGACCTCAATTTTCCATTGAAAATGTCTGATTCTGACTGTGAGCCTGTGGTTGAGTAAACGAGGAGCACCAGCTCCTTCACTGAACACAGTGTCAAAGATGTAGAAAACCTGAACAGCGCAGGATCTAGGAGAAGATGAGTTCATGAAGGGAGATGGAGATATGGGAACTTTCCATTAGTGCAAGTGCTGTTTGTTCTTCTGCAGACACAAGCCACGTGTCTTTTTTTGCTTGTCGAGCCATGAGCGCAGTTGTGCAAAATGGAATAGCTCCAAGCAGGCAGCCTGTAGGTAGGCAGTGCTCATGTTGTTGTTTGTCACATCAACCCCACCTCCTATTGGAGGTCTTATTGTCTTCTCATTGCCAAATTCAAGCGTAATATCAGAGTTTGACAGACACACAACTATGGGAAGCTGGTGAAAGCCTGACCAGGATCAATTCTGCAATCCCTTGCAAGAAAAATGCTATAGCTTTTCTTTAGCTTCAAGTCTAGACCTTTTCTATTTTTTGCTGTGCTGTTTTAAGGGGAAAAAAAAAAGAAAACAACACAGTGTAATAGACAAGGGATGGCTATGCTGTCCCACTTGTGTTTATGACATCCTGGCCAGCAGCAAAAAGCATAAAAGTGTCTGATCTCAAAATAACCCTCTGCTTGCCCCTACTTTATTTTTTATGGCCACTGAACACTGAGGAGATAACTTCATTGATTTGAACACAGTGGTGGCCAAATAGAGACAGCAATTAACCAAGCAAAGCCTTGTGGAAAATGAGCAAACCAATCAGGCTTGGGATGACAGAACTGAGACAAAAGGCAACGTGATGCTCTGCTGAAGATCACAGCATGCTGAAAACAAAAGACCTCTCTTAGGTCACAAATTTGTCCTGACATGATGGATACTCATGGAGGAGAAATAGAATCATAGCTTATTCAAATCTGCAACAGGAATAGGACTTACACTAAGAAGGCAGAAGCAAGCTCCAGGAGT